GGAGATGCCTGGGGGGTGGCTTAGCACCTCACTGCATACTTCCTCTGTCTAGGGGATCAGCTGGGCTATGGGGTATGGGCGACCCCAGCTCCAGTCCTACAAGCCCTGTGCCACTCCGGGAGAGGCATCTCCCGGGTGAGTGAGAGGTGCTAACAGTGTTAGTTAATCACGGTGAGGAGGAGGGGGAGGCACAAGGTCTATTCACGTCCCTTTAATAAACCATGTTCGACCCGCTGACCTTTAACCTGCCCGACAAGCCCCGTTATCCCCATCCCTTAAGGAATAAAGATGTCGCCATGGCAATGGGATGATGGGAGGGATCAGGGTCCCCGGTGCTGCACCCAGGGTAGGGTGGGGACGAGGACACCCTGCTCTGGCCCTGCACCAGCACCCAAGTGGCGGTGCAGGGTGGAGGTGGGGCACTGCTGGGTGTGCCATGGCTTTTGGGGGGCCAAGCACTGTGGATGGGGTCCCCGAGGTCGGCAGAGCGGAGCTGCGCTGTGCACTGGCGGGATATCGATCCCCAGGCTTGACAGTTTAATACTTCTGTTTATAGAGGAATATAGTTACATCGATGGCGTTAAATGAGTTACTAATTATATCAATACAAACACGATTAAAAGGGTCCTTGCTCATAGGTCACGGCAAGCAGGAGCCGCTGCTCACATTGCACAGCTGCCCCCGGGCAAGGCCTGCCCCGCTGCTCCGAGGTGCATGGGATGCTCTGGGGTGGTGTGTGCCCCTTTGGGGTGGGGGTTGTCCATCCGGGGGGGTGTTCCTGTTTGGGGTTGTGCATGCGTGTATGGGGCTGTGTGTGCCCATATGGGGCTGTGCGTGCCTGACTGGGGTTGTGTGTGACCATCTGGGGTTGTGCATGCCTGTCTAGGTTGTGCATGCCCATCTGGGGTTGTAGCACGTCTGGGATTGTGTGCACCTGTATGGGGTTGTGCTTGTCCGTATGGGGTTGTGCATGCACGTATGGGGTTGTGCATGCTGGTCTGGGGCAGTGTGTGCCCATCTGGGGTTGTGCATGCACAAGTGAGGTTGTGCATGTCCGTCTGGGGTTGTGCATGCACATTTAGAGCGCGTGCCCATGCAGGGCTGTGCATGCAGGTATGGGGTTGTGCATGCTTGTGCAGAATTGTGTGCACCCATGAAAGGCTGTGTATGCTCACCCCGGGTTGTGCCTGCCCACCTGGGATTGTGCATGCCTGTAGGAGGCTATGTGCATCCAGACATAGTTGTATGTGCCTGTGTAGGGATTTGTGCTTGTATGGGTTGTGTGTGCGTGTACAGGGTTGTGCACACTCACGTGACGTTCTGTGCACCCATGCAGTGTTTTGCACACCAATGCAGGTTTGTGCATGTTTGTGGAGGGTTGTACGTGCCCATGCAAGCTTGCATGTGCCCCGGGCGGGGAGGGGGTGGGATGTGCGTGCATGTACAGGGTTGTGCACATGCTTGTGTGGAGCTGTGTGTGCCCATGAGGGTTTGTGGGTGTCATGTACCCACACAAGTTTGTGCACACTCCTGTGGGGTTGTGCAAGCCCGTACAGGGTTGTGCATGCCTGGGTAGAGTTGTGTATGCTTGCATGGGCTTGTGCACATCCATGAGGGGTTGTGTCGGCCCATGTGGGGTTGTGTATACCCACAAGAGGTGTGTGTGTCCCCGCAGGGATTGTGTGTGACCCTGGGGGGGTTGTGATCTACCGCAGATGGTCCATCCCCGAGCAAGAAAGGAAGGCACCATGGTGCCCAACCTGCAGGATGAGGAGGAGGGCAAGTGGCAGGGCCAGGAGCCCTGGGTAAGGGATGGAGTTGGCTCCTTCCTCGGGGCTGGGGCTGTCTGGGGGTCCCTCCTGTGGCAGACCACCACCCATGCCACAACCCATGCCACCCGCCATGCCACCCGCCATGCCACCCCTGTGCCACTCCTGTGAAGCTGTGACACCTGGATCCCATAGCCAGCCTTGGCTGGGACCCACCCCACACCGATCAGCAGGAGTCCCCCAAAACCACCTCCTTTCCAGCCTGAGCATCCCCAAATCTCATGGGATGCCTGGTACATCCCCGGCACACCCAAGGAACCTGCCAGTGGGTCCCCTGTTACTGAGCTCCGCTCTTGTCTCTGCTTAAAAGCTGACCTTTGCTCCCTGTTTGATGTAATGTGTTTTTGCATCTCAGTGCCCGACAGATAAAAGGTTGGAGGTCAATAAATGGTGGAAAAATAGATACTGGCGCTTGGAGGTCACACCTGTTTTGGGGGCTGGAGGCATTGGCAACACACGCCAGGTGGGATCCTGCCTGCTTTGGTGCGAGGATAAACACGAGTGGCACCCGAGGGCCCGGCGGAGGCGTGGGTGCAGGAGCCCACCCACTGGGTTGACGCCCTGGGAAGGCGGTGGCTTTGCCCTGCAGTGGGATGGGCAGTGGTTGCCAGTTTTGGGGGGTTTGCTTCTGCTTTGACAAGCCAGGAGATCACAGCGGGTAGAAACGGGCTTGGTGTGGAGTGGTGAGGGTCGCAGCCCTGCTGCAGGCAGGGACAAGCAGGGAAGTGCAGGCAAAGCCTGGCTCACCCAGCCTTCCCCGGGCAGGAATCAAAGCAAGTCCCCTGGAGCTCTGCTCCGAGCCTGACCTGGTTACCTTAAATTGATGGCTCAAAGAGCTCCTGGGAAAGGGCAGACGATGGGGAGGGGGCACAGAGTGGGGCAGGAAGCACCATGGTGGAGGGAAGGGACAGGGTGCTGGCACCCAGGGGTTGGGGCACCCTGAGAGCACCCTGCTGCAAGGAAGGGATGGGTAAGTGGCACCCAGAGGGCAAGGAAGGGGCAGGGATGGAGCACCATGGAGCAGCTCAGAGCCAGGCAGTCAGCACCATGGCTGCAGTGGGAGACTGGCAGTAGCACCCATAGACTAGGTTAGGGACAGGCAGTTAGCACCCATCTGTTAGACAAGGGACAGGCAGCTGGCACCCATGGGCTAGATGAAGGCCTGTGTTAGATGTGTCTGTCCAGCGATGGGAACTGTGGGATGTCTGTAGGAGCATCTCTGCATCCCCGCATCCCTGTGTGTCCCCATGTCCCCCCATCCCTGCATCCCCACCTCTCCATGTCTCCCAAGTCCCTGCATCCCCACATCCCTGCATCCCCATATCCCTGAATTGATATATCCCTATCACATCCCTGCATCCCCCCATCCCCGCATCCTCGTGTCCCCGGAGCCTGACACATCCTCACAGCCCAGCTCCCTTTATCTGCCCAGTGAATGATGTGCTGTGTGGCGGGGGGCTGCTCCCTTTCTATTGGTTTTTAACGGCCTTTCCCAGCACAATTGTTTTTTAAACGACTCTATTTTGTGCCTGACTTTGTTTTCTAGCTTGCATTTCTTTGTATATGTTTTGGAAATCCATTCTGGACTGCTGAGTTTTGTTTCTTTTCAATGGCTTTAAATTCTTACCAGGCTCGCTGGGAGGAATTGGTGTCTATAGCGCCTTCGATTGGTGCTAATTTTTCCTTCATGTGCTCTGACTTTTACTGCTGGGCCATCGATCTGGCGGGCTCCCATTCGTCATGGTCACCCAGGCACTGTGCTGGAATCAAGCGAGCCCTGGCTTTTGCACGGAGCCAGCGCTTCGTGTCCCTGGCGTAGGGGCTGCACTCGCCTCCCCAGTGCCATCCGTCAGCTCAGCCGGGCGGGTTGTGTCCGTGTATCCAGAACTGCGTCCACACAGCCATACGTGTGTGTCTGTGCAACTGCATGCATGCTCACTGGCTTGCACATGCATCAGTGCACCCACAAACTTGCTGGGACACACAAGCACCAGTGTCGGTGCACACATGACGCTGCACTCATGCTTTTGTGCTTGTGCACTCGCACACAGTGCACGCTTATCTGGCTTTGCGCACACACACCCACTGTGGGAAGTCCTTGTGCCTTGCAGGATGTGTCGCTGCCATGCTCACACCCTGGTCCCCATGTGCAGCTGAGGGAGATGGATTTGGGGTCCCCATGCCCGGCCAGGGCAGATGGCTGTTGGGGTCACCGTGCCCAGCTGAGGGAGGGGGATTTGGCTGCGTGTTCCTTTGTGGAGGTGCTTCACGCTGTCCCTGGCCATCGATCACGTCCCGTTTTGCGGTGACACGGCTCAGGCCATCCTTACCAGGTCATCGATAGCCCTGTCACCCCGATCGAGTCGGGGAGCCCCAGCGCTCGCAGCTCCCTCACCGGCACCCAGCGCCATGGCCTGCCAGCTCACCCTGCCCCTAGAAGGGACCAGCATCTCCACTACACGGGTGGATGCGTGTCCCTGCAGATGAGAATGCTGATCCTGTGCTGGGGCCTGGTGAACACTGGCACTGGGCAGTGCCAGAAGGCTGCTGAGCCAGAGCAGGGCTAAGCATCCCAGTCCCAGGGACCTGCCCAGGGGCCTGGGATTTGCTGCTGCTCTGTCTACATTGACATCATCTTGCTGGGCTGAAACGCTGTCGTTCCTCTGCCTAGCAAGGAGAGGGGCAGAGAAACTGAGGCACCGATGCAGTGTTTCTGCAGCAAGGCTGTAAAACAGTGGTGCATGGGGAGCCAGTGCCAGCTCCCAGGCATGGGGAGAGCCCAGCACTGCCAGCATGGAGGGTGTGCCGGGGGATCCTGTCCATGGGGCAGGGAGAGCCTCTCATTGCTGGCAGAGAGGGCAAGCGGCGCCAGGGGTGATGCTGGGTCCTGGCACAGGCAGGGGCCCTGATCCTGGCATTGACCCCCTCTGCCTCGCCCACCCATGTGTGCCGGCGGTGCTGACCCCTTTCTCTCCCGCCCCCAGCTCTACGAACTGGATGAGGACCCGAAACGCAAGGAGTTCCTTGATGACCTCTTCGGTTTCATGCAGAAGAGAGGTAAAGGTGGGTGGCTGGGGTGGATGCCACTGGCACCCGTGGCCCAGCTGCCTGGGGGGACTCATGGCATGGCCCACTCAGGCACCGAGCTGCTGCAGGTCTCTGCAAGCCCCCCCAGGCATGTCCTGCAGGGCCTTGTCCCACCATCTCCTACATGCATGCACATGGATAAACTTGCACTCAGTCGATTTGCCCCCATAGCCCCAGGCAGAGCCCCCCTCCCCGGGTTGCCTGCTGGCCAGAGGGGCTTCCCTGGGCCCCCCCCCGACCCTGAGCTGGGGCTGGTGATGCCTGTTAGTGATGCCCATTAGCGATGCCCAGCTGGGATGCCCACTATCAGTGCCCGGTGGGGATGCCCGTTAGCATATTCCTTGGTGACAACCATTAGCAACACCCGTTAATGATGCCCATTAGCAGTGCCCGTTTGCAGGGCCTTTTGGTGATGCCTGGTGGGGATGCCCACAGCAGTGCCCATTAGTGGTGCTGGTTAGTGCTCCCCAAAAGCAGTGCCCGGTGAGGATGCCCATTACTGGCACCTCTAGGCGATGCCCACGAAGCTGCAGGAGTGGGGTCAGCTACCTGGGTGGTGCCGGGCTCCCAGGGGTTAAGGGCTCTCCAGCTGGCCCAGCCGCATTGGAAATCTTTGCTATCGCCATGGGGGTCCAAGCCGGCTCCCAGGGACTCGATAAATGCTTTAACCTTCGCCCTCCCCAGCCGGGCCTGCGACAATTAAAAGTTGCCGAGCGCGGGTGTGTGGCCGGCTGTATTAATTAGAGCCTTTTGCCGGTGTGTGGATTAATGAACATGCCGCTCAATAGCCAGTAAACCCCAGGCAGAGGTTAATGCCGAGCTAATTAACAGGGGAAGGCTGGGGGGGGGGATTGCAGTATCAGCAGGTCTGGCTGTGTGTGGGGCGAGAGTGGGCAGAAAGGGGCAGTCACCCCCAAGTCGTGCCCATGGAAAGGGTGATGAGGTGCCCACTCACTCACGGGGCAGCAGTGATCAACTTTTGGGTTGGGCTGAGACCCCACAAACTCATTTCACTTGGGGCTGTGGTGCACAGGGCCATCAGGCCCATGCTGGCACCCAGCTGGAGGCAGCAGGGGGGGCTGGGTACTGTCCCATGGGTGCCCCCGGTCCCCCTGACCCTGCTGCAGGGCTGTGGGGAGCAAGTGGGAGCATCAGTGCTGCCTCGGCCCCCCAGCATCCATCAGCTGCAAGATTCATGGGCTTTTCTGTGGCTTCATTATCTCTCTCTCCAGAGCTAATTAACTCCCTCACCATTGGGGCCGGGCCTAATTAAGCAAGTGCCTGGTGGTGCAGGGAGGAGGGAGGGAGCCTGATGCTTCTCTGTCAACGCTGCTCTTCATCCCTCCATGTCCGGCTGTCCCAATCCTGTCCCCTCTGTCCCATGCCTCCCCGAGCGGGTGGCATCCCCCCGGGGAGGGCAGGTGGGTGTGCGGTGCAGGGGTGTGAGTGCGGGTGTACACATGCAGGGGTGCGAGTGTAGGTGTGCAGATGCAGGTTTGTGTGCACCTGTTGGAGGTGTGGGTGATTTTGGGGCAAGGTAGCAAAGAGAAAGGGGGCAGGGGGGCTGCGGGGCAGGGCCAGCATCCCGGGGGTCATTTGGAGCTGGCTGAGAAGCAGCACCCATGAGCCAGCACAGGTGCTGCTGGGGCACCCAGGGTGCATGGGTAGGGGACTGAGACCCCCAGGCTCTGTCCCTGAGGTGGCGGTGGGCCGGGGTGGATTGATGCCTGAGGGGTGACCCCTCATGAAAAGGGCTGTGTCCCCCCTCCTGCCTGTCAGGGCATTTGTCAGTGGAGTGGAAAATTAGCAGGACTGAAATATGGGTTGGGGACAGCCCCATTGAGGGGGGACATTGGGGACCCCATGGCACGGGGCAGATCACCCAGCCCCAGTGGCACATGGGGGTGACTGCTGGAAGGGATCTGGGGGAGCAGCGATGAGATGGGGGTGATGGTATCATCAGACATGGGGTGCAGGCAGTGGGGCACCTCATCCCTGTGCCCCAACCTCCGTGGCACCCTCAAAAATGG